GAAAAGAAGAAAGAAAGAAGAAAAGAAAGAAAAGAAGAGAAAAGAAAAGAAAAGAAATTTGGAAAAGGTAATGAAAAGAAAGAAAGAAGAAAAGAAAGAAAAGAAAAGAAAAGAAAATAGAAAGAGAGGAAGAAGGAAAAAAAAAGAAAATAAAATAAAAAATAGTTGGAAAAAAAAGTGAGTAACATACATATATTCACGTGATTTTTGTCTTCTAATACTTAGGCTCAACTCGAGGCTGTCATCCACAAGTGCTCCCAGGCCGAGCCTCGACATGGTGAACTCTGGTGCGCAGAATCCAAAGCTATCCCAAATTGGAGATTAAAAACTAAAGATATCTTACCACTGGTAGTCAAGTCCTTAAAGCCTATAGACAGAGAATAACCAGGTAGATAATTTATTACTAGGATCCCTGTGGTACTTGAAAAAGAGAATGGATTGAATGCTAGTGTCAGTATGTAAATTTCCAATTTAAGATTCCTGTGCAAAGCCATAAAATACTGGTTGGGCTTCCTGTCTTCAGGTCATTGAATATTCTTACTCTATGCAATTTTACATTCAGTACCTTAAAAAAGCTTTTTATAAGCGAATCATTAAAACCTTGGCTAAAGGATCATTATGCTTTGTACTTTAAATTTTCGGTTCGTTAAACATACATGATAACGAAAATTTTTAAAACACTTTTCCGAAAAAAATTTGTCTTTCACATGTAAAATATTTGACGAGGGAAATTTGAATTTGACAAACAATGCACTGCGCGCCTGGGAACTGCTCTTGTCATGCGCAGAAGACTTGACAGACCAAAAGAAACGCAGGCTCTGGCAACGAAACCCTTATATATTAGTAGATTCCATGTTACTTCCGTATGATAATAAATATGTATTATTGGTGAGCGACGACCGTGCTTTTCTTCGTATTTCTTTCCCTTAGCGGAACTAATCAGACTGAATGCTTTGTTGTCAGTCAAATTTTTATATTGGTGCTTACTTAGTCCATTGCTTTCTTTAATAATGCTTCTTTAAATTGAGTATTCCGACACGTTCTTAGCTTAAAGCGTTAAACTTGGACTAAAAATTATGTCAGTAGTGGAATATAGGAGTGGAAGTGCGTGTGTTTTTCGTCTTTATGGCAGACGTAGCTTTCGTAGGTTTTAGGATTGGATGAAATACGCACGTGAAAATGAGAAGCCATTTTAGTGTTTTGGAGTTCTTTCACTTCACGGTATTTGCTGTAAGTCAATCATTGTAATGACGTGCTGGGTGTGTGTGTGTGTGTGGAAAGAAAAGGAAAGGAAAGGAAAGGAAAGGAAAGGAAAGGAAATTGTGTAAGTCAATTGAAAGAAAGGCATTTGCTGTAAGTCAATCATGGTATTGACATACTGTGTGTGTGTTGAAGGGGAAGGAAAGGAAAGGAAAGGAAAGGAAAGGAAAGGAAAGGAAATTGTGTATCGTACAAAATTGAGTACAATACAATCGAGGATATCTTTGGTCAGTGTTTGGTTCTTAATGCCACTTGCAAGCTTATGCTTTTTACAACCAAAGGTCAAATGATTTCTAATTTTACTCTAATTGTATTTTAAACGTGATTTCTGTGTTTCTCGCACAATTTTTTGAATTTATTAGGTGGCTAAAATGTTAGGAAGCACTCATTTACCTTCTTATAGTTCGTTCCTCTTGCAATAATAATGTATTTCTGGCAACAATAATAAATTATTTAAGCTACTGTCAAAGATTCTTGGCTAAAGACAGATTGTTTTGGTCAAGACAAAAAAAACTGATATATTTTTTGATAACTAACTCCTGGAATTTATTATTTATTTCTTCATTTCTATTCTTGTCTTGTCCATGTATCTTATTTGTCATTTCAAATAAACATTCTGTTACAATGCTAAAGCCATTGCAGTTTAAATTAATGCTGAAGATTCCTGGCTTAGCAGACTAATTAGATTGGGCAAAATAGATTATTATTGATGAAAAATAGTTTGAAATGAATTTTAGATGAAACTCTTGGCGAATGTAGACAAAAAAATTGAATGAAAGTTTCAAGGATTTTTTTGTTCAAAAAAATATTTTGAGAAATATAGGACGACTTTTGGCAAATTGTCGTACAAGACTAGCTTTTGTGACTATCTATATCTCTTCGAATTGGATAAAAGATTAGGTTAATTGAGATACACTGAAACAGCTCAAACAATTTCGTTGACTATGGTTTTATAAATGCAATGAATGTGTAATCTCTTCTGTTCTCTTCTCTTCTCTTCTCTTCTCTTCTCTTCTCTTCTCTTCT